AGCACTTACTGAACTATAACAGCTCCCTATACTATTTTGCGTGTGCACATCCCATTCCCACTTCAAACTAGCGTTATGCAGTAGTGCATTTAACTCACTGGATGTTGGAAATAACGATTTACTTATTTAATGATCCTTTCAAGTTTAATTTTTACTCCAACCATTCTACTGGACTTGTCAGCACAAGCTATTTTATCCGTGGTAAATCATTGTTCATTGCCTCTTAGCAAAAGGCGACTTGCTATCCCAAGCTTCTACTTGCATTGCATCATGTTCCACCTTACGAACGGAAGTTGAACACAACGCAAACAAATCTATGCGCTGCCAGCCTACTCCGTAGGGTAACAGTATGAAGGGTTACGCATGTCTTCTACTGAATCGCTGGGTGATTCTAGCAAATTAGATTTTTTGTTTCGGCACTTCTACCGCTGATTCTGCAATATCCATAGCAGTCGTCCTACGAGGTTTGTCGAGCACCTACTACTACTACTAATAATAATAATACTATTTACTCACGGGTGATAAAGCGTTATTCATGGTGCATTAGTGAGCCAAGTTTGCAGTAATGACATTAAACCTCTGGTTCTAATTGGTTTACCATGAGCTCTGTCTTGACCTTCCATTGAGACTCTTCACACACCTAATAGCTCATCGCAGGAGTCTCCTACGATGTTGCTACATGGCTGACTCTTTCCCTCCTACTTAAGCCTTTGGTTTTAATTGAACTACAACGACTTCTCTGTTTACCATCCAAGGAGCCACTCCACACACTTATTTGCTGCAGCCTTGTTAACTCCCGGGATTTTGGTCCACGGCTGCTTCTTTCCCCCCCTTCATTAAACCTTTGGTTCTAACTAGACCACTATAACCACTCTTGACATTCCAAAGGCCTCTTCACACTCCTATTAACATCAGCCTAATAGGCTCCCGCAATTTTGGTCCACGCTGACTCTTTTCTCCTTCATAAGCCCTCTGGTTCTTATTGGACTACTATGACTTCTCTCTTGACCTTCCAAAGAGACTATCCACACACCTTTCTGCCTCAGCCTCGTAGGCTCCTACGCTTTTGGTCCACGGCTGACGCTTTCCCACTCCTTTACCTATACGGTTCTCTGCCGCGTATAGGATTGTATAACGTTGGGACACTGGCTCCCGTAGTATCGATAACATTGGCTTATATACACCCAGACTACTTCATCCCGACCCCTTCTGTTGTTTATCGCGCTACCTGTTTGCATTACTTCTTCCACGGGTGTCAAAGTCTCAATGCGCTGCCCTGATCTAGTTTCGTTGGACCGGTCTCCTGCTTTCTGACCGCTTCCAGGCTTCAGAGACATAAATGATTTGGGCTCTACCGATCAAGCGCTGTGTTCTTCTTACTTAGAAAAGCTTGAGGGTCTCGTTCTCAAGCTATTACTATAGCCTTTTCCAAGTTTAACCTGCCCACTTTTGCTGACGCCCTCTATTTGTATTCCCAACTTCTTTGTACTGCTTAATCTCAATGCGCAGACCAAATTGAACGTTTTTCTACTCTGCCTCCCACCCAGTCTACTTAGCCGCTGCTGATTTAAGTTTGGCAGAACCACTCTTCTCTCCTTAACGCTAGAGCCTTGTAGGCCTTGTTCATCCCGTATTAATACAGTGTTTTCTATTCCTAACCTGTCCAATTATCCTTACCCTTCAATTTTTATTTCCACATCCATTGACGACTTGTTTTCGATTCAACGCACTGATCCAGTTTCATATGGCCGATCCCCTGCCATCGGACTGCTTCCAGACTCCAATGATGTTGCCGATCTTGGTTAGGTAGAGACATGGCTCTGTACCCCTCACTTCGAAAGCCTTGGATTTACTCACCATTTTTCGGTATTCTCTTCATATCTGTTTGCGTTCCGTGCCTCTCAATCACAATCCACTGGTCTTTGCGACTTTTGTGTTTATTGCTGCGTAGTCACCACTTACTTTCGCCGCCCAATAGACATATCTCTTTACACTTTAGCTCGTCATTTATGACGGCAGGTTTTGATATAAAAGACACTGCTGTCTACCTATATTTTTCGTGCTTATACCTTCCTCGCTCCCTTCTGATAAGCTTTCTATCGCTTAATCTTGCAAAATTCTGTCTTCTTTACTTTCTCACAGTTCTTGATCCATACATTTGCTGATATTCTCCAAGGTGTCTTGTTCATGTCCGATTTATCCTCTGCTCTTGTTCTCACGGATACTTTTTATTTGCTAGTACTATGCAATGCACTGCTAGACCTTATTCTGACAGTTTTGAAACCATTGACTCCTTGGTCGAATTGTATCCTCCTTATGCTATGGCTGTATGTTCTTTTTCTTCACCCACAAGCCATAAGCTTCACCTTCATTCAACTGTTATATATCCTACACTTGGCGAGCCCCTTTTTAAACATTTGTCTTGTCTCCCGCCTTCGATTAGTCTCAGACAACTGTTACTCTGGATGGTTGCCTCACTTGTGCTTATAGACTAACTTTGCCTCATGGTACTCCACTCTTCTCCAGTAACTCCGTTATTTGTTTCCTTTGCGACACCCTTTCGATCCACACTTCTATGCTCTTCTGCCGCTCACAGAACGACAGCCTCATTTCCCCCTTAACCTGGAGTCGTCGTTGCCTGACTTCTTTCCTGTCACAACCATACTCAGAAAATATATATGTAGCGTTGCACTTATCATAAACACAATAAGCAAAATGCCATCGGACAGCAGTGACATCAACACGATAGTCATTTTCGCTTCCTCACTTGTGTGATCGTGCCTTCTTTCTGTCGGAGTGTTGTCTTTACCCCATCCCTCGGGATTTAGATTGATGTGATGATTAAACTTTATTCGGCGGTCCTCAATCGTCGAACCGACGAAGATGTTGCTTCTCGCCTGTCGGATGAAACATGCAGTTATCACAGTTCGCTTTACTGAACATACTGCCCTTGGAGTCCGTATGTTTGCGTTCACCCTTAAACATCTTCCCGGACATTCTAACGAAATTTTCAATTTTCTGGTTTTTCAAAACTGGAACATTAAACCCAGCTCGCCAGTGGACTTGTTGTTAACAGTGCGCTTGTCGAATGAGACATACGGATTTTCCGGTTTTGCTTTATTGCATTTGCCTTCCCGAATCATACATCCCTCTGGTCTGAATGATTGGGTTCACCCCTTAGTACCTTGGAATATCCATGACCTTATCATCCCTTAAATAGTACATCCATCTCACCAGTGGGGATTTACAGAATTCATCATGCTTCCTGGAACGCTCACCTCAAGCGCTTTGCATAACTATTGTAACCATGCCGCTTTGTTTTGTCCACCTCGCCAGTGGACAACTTCAAACTCAACCTCGTGTTATCCGTCGACCGGTACAAATTCGACACTACCCGTCCACTCCCTGACGACGTTGATCAAAGCTTTATCTTTCATCGGATGAAATGTAGCTAAAGCAAATTTCCTTGTATAGTGCGTCACCGTCTCATGATCAGATGTTTATGTCTATACCTATACTGAAGTTCACAAAATTCTTGACAAAGTACCACAGCCAGCGTCGTCTATACGAATTGCGTAGCGCGCTACCATTCGGTAGGTGGGTAACGTGATTCGCATGCTCAAGACGACTGCGAGTAGCAACAGTCTGCAAGATGGACAATATCCTAAGCCACCGTATCGATAACCATCCAACCGTATCACAAGCATACCTTTCAATGCCCTCCCTGCCATGCAGTGTTTTCTCTAGACTCGTCGATGGCCCACAATTTCTGACCTTCCTCCACAAACTCAACAATCTTGAAGGGTTGTTATACCTATCGCTTGGACGCCATAAATAATTCCATTGTATATTCTGCTTACCTACTCTTACGACATGATCTATATGACAATAACTGCACTTTGCGATTCCATTTTCATAAAACGCTGACTTATCCTGTGTCGTCCTATTACACACCCCATGTAATTTACGCCCATGTTCCGACCCTTTATTACGCTCCGTACCTGAGAATATACACGCATGGTTCTCTATACCAGTTTTTTTTATATCGCTGTAACCATTGTTGATATTGACTGTACATCTGTGCATTTGCCGATGGTGTCATTTCATGGTGTGCCTCGTTCTGGTGAGAATAAAACACTATTTGTATATTTATTTTTATGATTGTCCTTATCCTCGGAACACTGTCAGATGACAAATAACAAGGAGCAGTTCAATTCATGCTGCGTATAGGTTGGCCACCTGGGGACAGTTTTACTACTCTACTGCTCAGCCTCACTACTTGAAGACACGTGGCCCTACGTCCTGCTTGCACACAAAAAAGACGACATAATTTTTATGAGAACTCCGATGCAGGCCAACAGCTTTCGTCATTTCAGACATCCGCTCACGTGGAGTTTGTTGAGATTTGTAATCGATGTAAGGATGTGCGTAACTAATGCGATACTCCTCCACACATCACCATGATTACGGGTCGTAAACATTTCACCTTCTACGTCCTCGGTTAGCCTCATACGAATTGGTTTTCCATTGGTCTTCCATTTCATCGGATAAGTGAAAAGAGAGATGAAGTAGTTTTCTCCTACTGTCCAGTAACCACAAGCACTGGCTCTGCGTAAACCATGCCGCCAGGCAGGCAGCCAGTTTCCGGATAATATGTAAATACTCCAACTTATGACCGGTTAAGAGTAAATCTTCGTCATTGCAGCCAGTAGGATTTTTTGTGCTGTCAGCTTCATGCTGGTGCTTATCTGATTGGTTGTGCAAGTTTTCCTCTGCTCTCCTCCCCTTTTGCCTAAACCAGTGTGGTTCAGCTGACAGCCAGTGCCGATGCTAGTCCGTCGGAACAAAATAAGCCACGTTTAACAGTCCACACGCTCACCTCCTATAAACGCCCACGCTTTCAGAGTTTGACATTATGGTAGGGCCACGTGTCGCCGCACACCTGACCGGTCTGATTGGTGTTCGCAGATTGTGAATGATCGAATATCACGAACCAATGAAATCACGACAAGCTCGCATGACTAGGGCAGATGAACGGAGTACGCTGATCACACTGCGTTTTCGGACCAGCTGTTGGGTTGACAATCTTTCAATGAATAAGGAAGGATTGACAATTCAGCCGGCACGTTGTTTATTCGAGTCGTCAGAAAACCACCCAATCGGTCTAGCAATGGAACGACATTTGAGGAGTTTGCGACTCTGCGAAGAGGCCGAGAAAGCGTGTCAGCAAAGTGTTGATAGACTACGGGAATTGTATCAGTTCGATGTAGAATCGCTTAGTCCAATGAAGGGAGACATTTCCGTAAACATGGAATACGGTATGAATCGCACTACACTTCATTCGGAGTGTAGGACGTCTGCACCTCGCAAAGCACTATCCAGACAAGACAACACAAACGACTGGTACTGGGAAGTGGTCAAAACAGATGAACGATACATCCCTCCATTTTATCACAGCGTCAAATATCATTCAGGGATAGATATACAAACACCATTATGTAGACGAGGATTGAACCCATCCGCCACCCCGAACAAACTCGGTGGACGTCCTGGCCGCACTAAATGCGCAGTATGCTTGGTGAACTATGTAGACTCCGCCGTCAAAATACCCAAAAATGCCAAACCGAAAGTTACCATGGACGCACCCATAAGAGTAACTGTGCTCAAGCTCCCACCCCTGTTCCAATTGTGGCAAATGAGAATACGCAGATCATGGTATTCGGAGTCCACCAGAAAGTCAGCGTCTTCTCTCACCTCAGCTGTCTCTCAGCAGGAAGAAAATGGGGACAGACCAGGTTATGACGAAGTCACTTGTTCCACTGATTCGTTGGTTCGGCCTCCTAACCCGAGCACAGTGCTGCGATCTGGTCACCGAGGCAATGATAAAGTGACAAGTTTGAAAGGAGACCCTGAGACAAAGAGTTCCCTGGGACGGTGGAGACAACTGAAAATTGAAGGTAAGCCTGTTTTGTTGAACTCAGATACTTGCAGTATTCCGGTATAGCATAGATAGGTAGTGAACAGAGGGTCAATGATAAAACGAGAGCTGGATTTTCTCACTGTTTAGACAGACAGTGTAAGACAGTTTACAAATACTTGCTCTGTTAACTCGGTCGACTGGCTTGAAGTGCCCAATTAGTATGTATCAGCATTAAGGAATCAGTAACATCTCGGTACGCAGTAGCGATGCTTCACTGCCGCGCAACCACCACCAATCGAAGGTAGTCTAAGGATACTGCGGGGCTCGCTTGATCCCTAAGTAGACACGAACTCGCGCCCTCAGCTTACAAGGCAGGCTTGTGATCTTTTGGGTTACAGGTAGGCAGGAAATACACAAATGTCTAGAGCTCACTGTGGATCATTCTCGTTTATTACTTTTTGAACCCTGCCTAGTAACCTTAAGTTAGAATTATAATCAGTTATTAATGAAATCAGAAGGATTGCCTAAATTAGTAGCAATGAGCGTTCCGACATTTATTTGTCATTGCAAATTTAATGTGATAGCAATGACGCCGAGGTCCGTTCGCAATTTCTTGTTGTACAATAAAATGCGGGCCATGTATTGAGAATCCTTAATCGTCTTTATTGGATCCTCCGATAACGAATGTTAGTTATCCGACAATTAGCTTTGTTTGGGCTAAATGTTCCGGCTTACTTCATCAAAATCGCGTCACGTTGTTCTGAGTTTGCTAACGGCCAGTGGGGTGTGACTATGCACTCGCACAAACAAATGGTGACAAACAAATGGACGAGCTTCGTTTGTGAATTTAAATACCCCCTTCTCTTTACGACTCGCTGTGAATGCGACTCCAGCGTCCACAAGCTAATCGGAGCCAATAAGACACTGGCGCATTAACTTCCCATCCTAACAACCACAAACATGATTTTCTTAGCCACACGAAGTGCATGTTAGAAGCCGGATGAGGTTTCCAAAACCGTACACGGTGCATCATCTCAACAACGAAAAAGTAGCCAACTGTGTGCTGTTCGGGATCACCTTTGACTGCAAGCTTTTTTCCTATTCCTGCATGTTGTTTAGCTGGTACACACGATCTTCTTGGATGAGATCCCGGGAAGTAGCTACGTCAGTGGCTCTAAGTCTCGTTTGATATGGGGAAATAGAGAGATCAGGAATACCTTCGATTGTCTCCTCCATATCCACGTCGTAATGTGGCGTCCCGGTACGCCTTTAAAATTAAACTGCCTTCATTGGATATATATATATATATATATATATATATATATATATATATCAGCATTTTTATTGCTACATGCTGCGGGAAACTAGATTCACGGCTGGTTATAAATAAAAAAATAAATGGGTATATTCCCCGGCAAGCGGGATACGTTCCCTTTTGTAGAGCGATCATTTTACAGCGGATTTCGTCATCATTTCATGTATGGGCTGCATTCAGTTTCTTACTGCGTATGTATTCGTGTGAATGCAGTTGAGCATCGATATTGGGATGCTGCTGCCTTCTGAGCAGAGCTTGCGATCATGTACTATCCACTGGGCACTCGCGAACTATGGTCTCCAATTTCAGACACAGTGGATTACACCATCGGTGCAGTGAGAGCAATGTAAAGAGAGCGCACTAAATTTAGGGCGGGTAGGATTGCTGTAATGCCACCTATAGCTAATTTTCCCATTGTCTATGCGAAGCTTCGGACTGGCAGTTAGTAGAAACTATAGAGAAAATAGGGCGGAGCTCACTGAACTGACTGCGTCACAAGCTTCCTGAGAATCAATCATCATATAGGACATTGGTGGACCCAGCCTACTTCCAATGGTAGCAGCCATTAAGGTAGCCCGATGGAGCCACTCATGTTCCTTCACTGACTCCTGCTGCTCGTGGCTCAGATGATTCGTGGTTGTCTTGTCATAACCTGAGGGAAGCAGTGCCATGGTGCCTAAACCCAGAAGATAGATCTGCTATAGAAGCAAATGTTGGTAGCATAGATTGTTTAGGCAACAATTTCGTTTGAGCCTTTTCATCACCAGTCGCATAGACGGTGTCACTTCTAATAAGGATGAAACGCTTGCAGCAGTTGTCACGTTCAGAGAATAGTCCGACCACCAAGTCAGCCGAGATTCAATCCGGTTACAGATGCCAAAATCATGTTTCTGTCCTCCCAAGTAATCCTGTATATGTCGAACTCTCCAAGACCAGTCTTTCGGATACTGGAAATGCCTCACTGAATAACTCAACGATGAGGGTGTACTCGGGAAGTTCATTGCTTTCAGTGTATAGTTATTTCCAAACTTCCTGTATCGCCACTTGAAATGTAACACGAGCTACTGTGACACATCACTACTGATTACGCCGCACTCTGCTTAGGCAACACATATATGGGAGCGGTAAACGCTGATAACGCTGAAGTACTTTACAAACCACCGCACCGTACACGTGTTTCATCCTTGTCGAATTTGTTTTCCAGCTGTCCGCCATTGATTTCCAACAGCTGAAGAATGAAGCAGTGGTAGGTAGCTCCTGTGTTGACAGTTGAGGAGCGTCAGTGAAGTTTACCTAAACCAATAGATGAGATAAACCCTAGAATTTCTAACGAAGAATCCTCTCCGACAATTTTGCTACCCCGGATGACCGCTTATTTTTGTAATTTATTGTGACATGCTTGTGATAGGTTTTCTGTTCTGGCGTCTGTCCATCCAAGTACGAATTGACTTTGAGTTTGTTCTGAACCATGGCATCGTAAAGTATCTACGTCTCGTTTATAATAACTGCTACGAAATGGAGGCCCATTTTGATTAATTGGAGGGCCAGGCGTTTCCCGTCGTGACCTGGCAGCCAAAGGGGTAGATGTTTCGCCTACTATTCAAACGGGTGCGAGTCCGAGGTCTGCTATCTCCGCCTGATGAGACAAAAAGATATCGAAAGGCGTCGTGGTTGTGCAATGTTTTCGGGCGGGAAACACCTAATTTCCTACTGCGACGACGATTTTCTTGCCCCAGAGAGCTACGGGAATTTGGACAATAGCATCGTTCTCCAAGATTACACTGCCTGCTTGCGCTTCGTGCACAATTCTCATGCATCACTCGGTTTGACTGTGTGTGTACTAGCGTGGGCGGGAGCGATGACGAGATGGTAAACCAGTAACGCTATCCAGAAATTAATAGAATTCAAATGATATATAACCGTTGTGAGATGCTCAGCACTGTTACATGAAGTTCCTAATTGTTGCGATCACTTGAGGCTGGACAGGTTATCATGCCTGATTGGGTCGTGGATTATATTGTAGGGACCGCAAGATACCAGCGTCCTTACATCCTTGTCCTCGTCTCTTCCATTCTACTTGTGGCACCACGTCAACTGGCTACAAATATATATAGTGTGGAACACATTTTAACCGCTGTCACTGCTAGCATCAATTATCACACTCCTCGCCCTTTCGGCATTCATCCGTCAAAAATGAACTTTGTTCTATGTAGCTATTGAACAAATATGAGTAGTATATTTTTATCCAGTTATAATGAAAGTTTTGATTTTCCGACAGACGTCCTCAACAACCTGAAGGAAATTGCTCGAAGTTGATTACAAATCTCACTGAACAGACGGTCATCAAATCGTTGGATGTGTCACCATTGGCTGTGGTTACTATATGTATTCTTACCGGTGAGTTATTAAGACATCGACACCGGTGACAATTTACTGTGAACTGAATGTGCTGCGTTACTGTCTAGTGCACCACATAAAACAACTATTTTGGATGCTTCACCCACACGTATGATCAGTTGTAGGACGTGGTGTTCTTTAACTACGTTTCAATGCTTGCCTCTGTGAACTACCACTGTTCACTCACTTTACATACAGGTGAGCAGTGATGGTGGGACGACATCTTCATATGTTCACACGGTTTCTTGTTTCAGAAGAGAAATCACCATCTTTTCTCCCATTCCCATCTTCCGGATGCCCATCGAAGAGTTGTAATTACGAAGATTCTCCCACCACTCGATTGATGTATCAACCACATCAGCTCAACTCTTGTCCCCCTTGTATGTACTTATTTTTCCTTGGCTATCACGAATGTACAGTGTCCGATTCCAAATATATCTGTCAGATTTCACGTCGAATTTAGAGTATTAACCGTACGCTTGGGTTGGAAAACATAGTCTCACTTTGGACCTTACATTACTTTAGGCCAACTAGTCATTTCAGTCAGTATGGCCGATTTCGGCTCTAGCGGTGATCTTCGCGAACGGTTTCCTCTTGCAATAGAACGACCCACGACTAATTCGGGATGGCTGGTCGAGTGTTGTGCTGCTCACCTAATTATACATCTCGAAGGAAGGATCAGCACCGAAGATTTCGTCTTTTTGAACTCCTCTGTCAGAGACAGAGAAATGCGGGAGTTGAATTTTGAGTGTAATGGTTGGTTGCTGACGCCCTGTGAGCTAAGCCATTAATGCAGCACCATTCACTCTTGTTGACTGCCTTTGCCATATTAGTTACAATCAAGCACCTCGATCTATTCGCGTTTGGTGCTGAGTGTTAGACGCTGATCCGTTTGTTCAGAGTCTTCAGGTTCCTGCATCGTGGGTGGTAACTGCATCAGCATCCACATGGATGTTTAGCTATCGTTTCTATCTTTAGCCAACGATCCACAGCTGGTGTGCATATGTTAACCGCTGCGTTAACCACTGGCTTGAAACCATGCTTATTTTATCGCAATCCGTCTACACTGCCCAGGCTAGTTATTGGTACAAAGAAGGCGCATAGACAGAAATCCCTGTATAGTTGGCATCAGTTTTGCTTTGGGGTGCTTCAATGCAACTAACAAAGCAATTGGTGGAAGAAAGCAGAAGGGATTTCTGTCGCATGCGCAGATTTGTCGCACTCCAGTTGTGTGTTGCGTACAAGCGATCAAGACTGCACCAACTTTCCAACACAGCACGTATTCTGGTCATCACCCGTACTACAAGTTGTTGACGGGAAGATCGTGTGAACTGGTGGAATACGTAACCTAGGCAGAGTAACTGCGAGTATCACATAATCTTAGTATGAAAAATTAATAAGTCGCGCTATTCAGTATCTTTGTGTACGCTTGGAGTCGCTCCAGATATCATCGCTTCAGAGGGTTTGGTGAACAACCGATTAGTGTATTTCTTGGGTGGCTTCTTTTCTAACAAATAAACTTCCTCATACGAAGTTCATTTAATGAACCATAGACTAATGTTAAACGCTTCACTCCCATTTCTACTGTGATGAAGGCATGCTTCTGGCAAGCAAATCAAGTACACTGGTTAACTGCCAGCCATGGAATCATACAGCATTTTTCTCACACACACTTGCGCGGAAACCACGCTAGAGGCAAATCATCACTGCAGCCGCTACTTCTGCGTTGACGTTGCGGCCGGCACCGGACTGCTGGCAGAGCAGTCAGTTCAAGTTAACGTAGCAGTTAGCAGAGGTGAACAGCGGGGAAAAGCAGGGTGCTTGCAAGTCCAAACTGCCTGATAAAGCTACAACACATTTCAGTGTCTAGCGTGTAATTTAATAATTCGGAGTAGGATTTGAACCGACTGGAAGTTCATGATCTCAGGTTTTGAGTACAAATCGGTTTTGGTAGATTGTTTATTGTGGCAATGTTTCCCTCTTGACGCAAGAGCTGCTTCAGGCAAGAGGTAAATTTACTGGAAGGAGTCTAAGGCATTTTGACACCGGATATTTCTGTATTTAGCTTTAGATAATAACCTTCTAAACAAAGTCAGTACATATGCTGTTGCATTCTATGGGGTTTTTACGTGAAGTTAGCTGGGTGCAGAGTTAGTCGCTTGCAAGCTATCGGGAAGAGAACCCGTAGCGTAGTGAATCTAATTAACTTTCACACATTTAGTACGTGTCAACAAAGGGAATAGGTAGGTAGCATAGACCGTTATCTGAGAATTAATCGTGGACACTTTACGGATAATTGACAGCAGCGTTGAAGTGCGACAATGAAGCAATGGAGCTAACGACGTGATGCAGCAGGGTTGGGTTCGTATAAATTACAACACATTGATTATTTTACTTAGCACATGGGTGTTCCTTAGCAATTCGGTTCATGCGCTGCACCGGGCAGCAGTCACCATTTAGGTTCCTCATGTAGATGGCGAATGCCACTGGGGACTAGTTCGTTTTTGTCCCATGCACTGTAACGATGTTGGTTGAACTGCGACTGTCACTTATCATTCAGCCAATACGTGGGAACCAACATGATATCTGTGCTAACTCTTGGACCGATGTGGACACTGAGCAGAAGGCACAAGTTGATTTTCGCCCCAACAAATCCGTACCCAGGAGCAATGAAATAAACAATGGCCAGTTTCCGCCTCCTTTTTTGTATGGTGCTAGACCCATGATGATCGTGGACGTTTCAAGAACTTGATAATTTTATTAGGGTCTCGGTTGGTGACAACTCTGATCGTGAGAAACATAGCTTCGTCAAACCAACAATGACTCTTATTTGTCTCCTAGTAAACTTGCCGTGGTTGCTTCTAAAGTACCATCTTTTATGCTGACCGATCAATACAAAAAGATCTTTGGCTTTATTCCTGGTCTGTGCTGGAAATAGCATAGTTTCTTGAATATCTACTTGGTTTTACTCAGCTCGTGCCAGACTGTAGCTTTTGATGATATGCCCACCATCTAGGTTCCATGGATGAGTGATAAAAGCACGTCTACTCATCCGCCGGAAAGCATTTTGTGATGTGTACCCTCAAATCTAGTCAGAGTGATGCTGAATTCTTAGTCCGGAGCTTAAAGTGAAGTCTAAATGGGAGTAAACTTGTTTAACACACCACAGTGGGTTAACGAAAATCAAGGAAACCCGGGGCAGTCTCGTGAAAATATCAAACCCCTCGTCTGCTGCCAATCAGGTGAGCGATTAAGCGTCGATTGTTTGCAGGCGTGCACCGACAAACCTGTTGCAATCTCATCTAACTGCCAATCAACGAGCTATTACAAGAATCATGCGTGTGGAACAACATGATTAGTCAAGGGGGAGCCAAGGGCAGATTTAACGCAACAGTCCCACTAGCCACACTTGCGATGCTCTGGATTGTTTTATGAAAATTGGCATTGTGAGGTCCATTCGAAACACTCGTTGTGTGTATGAATTGCGACGCACCATCTCAATCTGATGCATAATTCATTTTGAAGTGAACTGCGGTCACTCGGGTCACTGAACCTGCATCTGAAGCAGATAAGTATTGCATTTTGCTCGTTGGCGATAACATACTCCACTGCCGCCTTTTACTTATTTGCGCTCGTCAGGTATAACTATCAGCGCTGCGATGTAAACACGGGATGTTGCGATGTTGGCCAGAGCCCCTTCTTCCAAGTTCGCGACTAGGTGAAGTTAAGGTTGGGACATCGGCTGATATCTCGGATTCGTGTCGCTGACCTAATCTTTCTACCTGACAAGGTAATTTTGTGTTTGCTTTGCGTTTGCAGTGAATTGAAAATGCTCACAGTCAGCTTTGCAAGTTCCACCGGATGCAACGAATGTCCAATGCGTTGACCAGTTTAATGGAAATTGGCATCCGTTCTTGACGGTTGTCACTAATACAATACTACAGTAATCCGAGCCACTATAATGAGTTGAAAGTGTGATTAGTGAACGGACGTTCACATATTTTTGGTGCCTAAGGCATGACGGGGAATTTACTGGTACGTAGTTTTACCTGTTGAAGTCAGCGATTACGTTTCAGTGAATAGATAGACCCAGCTCTTTTCGCTGAACAGTTCGAATACACAAGCCATATCAAAAAGTCAACTTCGTATTTTCAGTTGTCATATGTCTGTCATGGCCCTTAGCAACACCAAAGCCATAATGTTATCTTCTGTGTGCTCACCATCTAAGTGACACGCATTCCACAGAGATAGACGTAACAAGGTGTTGTAAGATGCAGCCACATTCTACTGAGACAATCTGACTTTTAGGTCGTTTCCTGCATCGTATCAGTTAGCAACTTACTGCCTGACTCATCACGGCAGCCACACCATTGCGTTGGTTACTTGAACAACATTCGTCTAATTGGACTAACCGTACCACAAGCATCAGTAGAAGTAACGTATCTTAGCAGAGGCAATTTCTTTTTCGTTTTTCGTTGAACACAAAAACAAAAAACATTTACACACAACTCAGGATGTGACCCTACTTTACTAACACCCAATCGAACTACTTCACGTTTTTATGTTTCATCATTCCTCACATTTCTGATCTAATTACAATACGTAACAATAGCCAACTGCATGCATTCTTTAACCCAAACATATCCCTGAGGATGGCGATTAAACAGTGGCCACAGCACTACCCATCAGAGCGAAATTTCGCCGACCTCCGTCTGATAGTTTCACGTTTGTGTATTGTGCTTGGAGATCCGGCAGAGTTTGCATATGTAGAAGGTGGAACTCTCTGCACACTGAGCTGTGAATACCACAGAAGAACACGGTCACCTAGGGTGACACTGATTTGATTTGAACAAACCTCCATTTCCTAGGGCTTCAGGATTGCTGAGTGCTGTTGTTATCTGGTGTTAGTCTGAGCGTCGCTAATGATGACAAGGACAAAGTTGCAATCATAATTGGTAAAATGGTTATGATTTCTATTGTTGTGAACCAAGCTGTGGAACGAAATTACTCCTGTTAATGTCTCCCGACCATAGTGAGAAAAAAAATCAAGCCAGGTGTACCAACCACATTCGACTAGAACTATGATTTGTTTCATTAGGTTATAAGTGGATCGTGGTGAACAAGTTACTGTTTTTAGTACTTCCCAATAACACCACCACCACCACCACCACCACCACCACCAACAACAACAACAACAACAACAACAACAACAACAACTTATCTTGAGGGGCACAGCGATCCTATTCCGTGGTGACTATTGTTTCCAATTTGTAGTCAGTCAGTACCACCCTGATCGGAGCTTGTTACTGTAGGCGACGAATTGTGGAGACGAACTAGGAGAGCTTTCAACATACGTAGCTACTTTGGGACCTGGAGGTACGCCAAGCATGAGAAATTTACTTTGATCAGTATGCTACACGGGCGAGAGTTCATCTGCATCTGCGGATTCA